TAAATCAGGGAAAAAGTTATGTAGAAGTTTAGAGCAGATTTATGCTATAAAACAAAATAGCTTTAAGTATCTAATAAAACACGGTTCGGTTTATTATCTCAAAATGAAAAAGGAAGGCAAAATGCAAGCCAGCAAAAACATGCTTGTTCACATAATCCTGCAGTTCAATCCAGAAGAGCAGTATCAGATAGGTAGTCAAGAGGATCATGTCAACTCTTGGCAAAGTGTGGTGGAAGAAAGATCAAGTTTCAAGAACCTGTTGTCAGAAATCTGGCTGTTAGATCGACAACAGGAAAACCTGTTATTTTGATTTTATTTTTTTTACTTTGCTTTGTTTTTTATAGCAATAAGATTGAGTAGGTTCTCTGTTCAACGAGATAACATTTTTGGCAGAGATGAAAACTCTCACACCATCGCCATGGTGACAAATGTTTGTGGAAGTATCAAAGCAGGTGGGAACTCTTAATCAGACAGATAAGCCAGTCAGAGTTGACAGGAAGAAACATGAAGCTAAATGTTGAACCAACCTAGAACATATTAAATATAGTCTGCAAGTTATTTGCGGCTGGGGCAAGAATCATTGTCCAAGACAACAGCCATAAACGTACAAGCTGATTAGGACCAAATGATATTCATATGTAGGAAATTTCTATTCAAAGTGTAGACCTAAACTCGACTGAGAAACTGTAGCGAAACACAACAGTTGAAAAGTCTTCTCCGTCCAGTCTGATTGAGCTTGTTCGATTTTGTGGCCCTAATTAAAATAATTGCAGTGTAATGTGGTTTTGGATAATCAGGAAAAAGAAATTCAAACCTAGGAAACATTTTTTCTGATTTGTATTTGCACAATATATGTTCCCTTTAACTTCTAAAACAGTTATGTGCTTCTTAGCATTAGTCAGTCACATACAATCACAGGATGATAACCTTATGCAGCACTACAAAGTGTAGAGAACTGCTTCTAATGCGATGTAAATCTTTGTTCCTTCTTAATAAAGACAACCATGGCGTATTGTTTGGTTACATTTCTTCAAGCAGGTTGTTCTTTTAACAGGACAGGAATACATAACATAATTAATGGGTCATTAAATCAGTGCTTCCAAACCACGTTACTGTGCTGGCTAATAGAAAGTGATTGTGCTACGCAGGTAACAGATAGCCCTTACGTGCACAAGCCTTTTTGTGTATTTGTATATTTCAGTCTTTGCGTGCTTGAGAGGACTCTTGAGTCTGAATCCACAAAGTGCTCCTTGGGCTGTTAATACATGAGAGACCTTTGTCTGCTTGTATCAGTACTCATTAAACAACCCTGCATGAACACAAACAACATACCAGTGCAAAGCAGAATGTGAAATCATTTGTTAGCATGTCAGTAGTGGGAAATTCAATACTCTACATGGTCTAACTACCTGATTCCAGAGTACGCCTTGGCTGGTGTGCACGATTATTATTGTCAGCAGAGGCTATTTTTCAGTTTCCTCCTTCTGCAGACAAGTAACCATATTTTCGCTCCCTCTCACTGACAGCTTGTGGAGATTCACATTGTAATAAAGCAATTTCCTGTATGCAAATGTCCTGTTTACACATTCTTGCTCCAGTCATTGTCACTTGACAGATTGCTTGAATACAAGGAGAGCAGCAACACAATGAAAAACGGGAGTAGCAAGACTTCAAAATAAAAATCTATTTTGTCTTCTTTTTGCACAAGCATTCCTTAAACTGATGAGAAGGGGGAAGATCCGGACTTTTAACATGACCCCCTAAACACCCCCCCCCCCCCCCACACACACACACACACACACCCACACTAACTATGAAAAGAGCGCAAAGCAAAACAGCACCAATCATTGCACCTCTACAGTGACTTGATGATAGAAGAGGCTATAGAGAGGCCCTTCCTTGATGTAGTAGGAAACAATGATAGAAAGCGAGGGAATAAGGTAATGGGCAAGTGAACAAGCAGAGCCGTAAGTAAGAGTAAGTAGGGAGAGGAGAAGAAAAAAAAAGCAGGTCGATTTAAGGGAGGGTTATTGTGAGCAAGCATGCTGGAGGATACAGAATGATCTTAAGCCTCTGTGTGTGGCTTTCAGTGCTGCTGCAGGATCCACGCCACTGTCTTCCCCTGGCAGTGAGGATGATGAGATGTTCTGAAAGTGCTCTAGCACACCTGCAGAGCTAATTCACAGCCTCTGATTCACTACTACCTTTCTGCACAGACTAAATGCAAGTCTTTTCACCCTGCGGGGTTTTGCATTAGCTTCATGGTGCAATCATACCAATCAGCATTTCTTTCTTTACAGCAAACCTTTCTGCAACCTCTGAGACAAGCCTGGCTGGATTGGCCATATGAATTCAATCCCCTTCCATCAGGATATATTCTACATTCACAAGATATGTAATTTCATGTCTCTGTTCTCCCTGACTGAATAAGTTAAAAGTGCTTAAGTTTTCATTGATGATGTGTTAATGCTTTGATCTTGCACATCAGGTGAGAGACCTGAACAGGTGTAGGTGAGAGTGGAGTAAAAAATGTCTGGCTCAACACTGACATTGATCCAAAGTGGAAAAGTCACACTTACTTATTCTCTTCTGCCCGCACATATTTGCAAAGCAGAGATGAGCATGGCCCAGATCCCAGGGGTGAAGAACAGGTGATTGGCGAAGCATCCTCGATCTTATTTTTATTTATGTAGTTTTATGAAATACAAGTACATATAATCAAATTCCATTTAAGTTTAATAAAGTATTTTTAATTGTAATAATAATAGAACTTTATTGATCTCACATTGGTGAAATTTACCTCTGCATTTAACCCATCCCCTTGGGACACAGTGGGCTGCCATTGTATGGCGCCTGGGGAGCAGTGTGGGGTTAAGTGTATTGCTTAGAGGGCCAGAGTGGTCTGTGAGAGTGGGGCTCGAACCCAGAACCTCAGGATTCCAAGCTCTATGACCTAACCACTAGGCCACCACTCCCCCTGAATTGAAATCTAACCTTTGCTCCGACACCTAAAATTCTACCTCAGTGCAGCTAATTGCTTTAAGCATGTCATTTTAAATCACTGACCAATTGACTGCTGGGGAAAGTTGCATCGGTAAGTAAAGCCAGTAGAACACAACTGTTTGTCAAAAGTTTGTTACGCAACATTAGTGAACAAACCTCATCGTTCAGGTCAACAAACACAACAGTAGGAGTACAAGTAAAGGGTGGTGATATAGGGTAATGTTATAAAACAATATCCCAACTTTGAATGTGTCAACGATTTTTAATCTATCATTTTAAAGTAAGAGAGTATCGCACAACTGCAAACCAACTAAGTAACTGCCATAAAAAACAGACATTTTGAGAAGGGTAAGAATTGATCAGTGAAGCTCCGCCAGAGGACCATAGTAACTCTAAAGGAGCCGCAGAGATCAGCAGCTAAGATGCAAGAATCTGTTATCTGTTAATTTTATTATTTTTGGAAGAAAAGCATTACTGAAGTGCATCCCTATCATGAATCCACCATGAAAGCTAAACACAAGTCGTGCAGTAAACATGGCGGGACTGCTGAAAAAGTGTTCTTGTTAAATTGCAAGAAAAAAGAAACTTTAGGTAGCAATCTGGGATGAAGGCTCTTGCTCAGGGACCAAGAATGACAGTGTGAGTTTTGAACATGCGACCTTTATGGCCACTCGATGATGAAAACATTCAGCTCTCCACATATATGCAAAATATCAAATTATAAACATGTGTTAGCATGGCTTAATGATAACACAGGTCTATTTCCAATCAAGATGTCTGGTAAATCTCAATCCACTCAGACTGAGCTGGTGCTGTTTTGCAAAGAATGGGCAAAAGTCATCTCAATGAACACAGCTTGCATTAAAAATTAAGTTCATAATTGCTATATTTATGCTCGTAAAAAAAGTTTGAAAACCATAAAACCCTTTGCTTCGCCTTCATCTTTATGCCTGAGCCAGCAAATACAAGGACACTTTGGTTGACATAACGTGAAGAAGATTAAGCGAGATGAAAACGTCTGCAGGACATGGAAATTGCTAACTCCCATTTAATAGCCCCATGTTTTGATGGATTTACCAGTATATTAAAATATATTCTGATTGGAATACACAATTGGAGCCTGTCATTTTATTTTATCCCCGTCTCCCGTTACAGAGAGACACAGAGCATTTATTCCCTGACTACACTTTTAAATGGCTAGAGAGATAACTGGAGAACAACACCACCAGATTCTCATCTCAAAACACTAATATGATGAGACGGGTGCTGGGTGCAGGAGGGCAGGCAGGCATAATTAAGGTCTCTCCTCAGAATGTAATCTTTCAGGCAAGAGCCTGGGCGGAGGGATGGGGGAGATGACGGGAGAGCAGGGAGAACAAAACACTCTCCATCTGGGAACCGCCAGATGAAGGCCTGAGAGCCGGTATTCCGCTGGGGAGGTGAAGAGGGAAAAGTGAGGTAAATGGGAGGTAATGCTAGGCTGGTGGAGCCAGCCAGCCTCTTTCAGCTCCCCAGCTATTCAGCTCAGTCCTCTGTGGAGCCCCCCATCAGAGCTGGTGACTGCTCCCTGTCCCAGTAAAAATATGATGGCATCAAAGGGGGAGAGTGAATCGAGAGAGGGACAGAAAAGAGAGTGGGAGTAAGAGATAATGGATGTTTGTTTACTCCACATGTAGAACTGTGGTGCAGTAACCAGGGATGATATGTTGCTATGCATATGCATCTACGGATGTCTTCAGCTCTTGCTAGAGGAATTCAAGTAATTATTACACTAAAAGGAATCTGCTTTTTACGTCTCCCTCAGGTATTAGAAAGTGAAGAGAAGACTAACTTACAAATACTTTGAAAAAGAAATTCACTATTCTAATCACATTTGAAGAATGTTAAAAACCTGGTATTTGATTTGATAGCTTTCAGTGCAGATATCATTGACATGCTATGCCTCAAGATTTGATGAAATGATAAAGATGTAGAAGTTGGGAAGTACATATCCATACCTGGAAAGATGATGGCCATTTTCTTCTTGTAAATGGCAAAATCAGTATCAAGGAAGACACAAAAAATGACCCGTTTGAT